TAAGAACTGGACATAATTTTTTGGTTATTTAAAAATCAGGAAAAATTTGGTGATTGAAAAACTATGTAGTTTAAATGTTTAAATTTTTTTATAAACTGGGCATAATTTAAAAGCAGGATATAAATTTGCTGCCATTTAAAAATTGTACATTATTTTATAGTCAATTTATAATGGAAAATAGTTTAAAAACATGAAGATCGATTTCCGGTGATTGAAAAACTAGACAAAGTGTTTAGTAATTTTAAAACTACACATCAATTTTTGGTCATTTGAAAACCGGACATAATGTTTAGATAACTGACAACTTTTGACACATTTAAAAACTGGACATAAATTTTTTGTTTACTCAAAATTGGAAATACATTTTTGGTAATTTAAAAACTAAACATAAATTAGTAACTTTTTAAAACCCGAATACATATACATATTCCAGTCATTTAAGAACTGATTTGAGTTTCTTAAAACTGGCAATACTTTTGTGGGATATCATTATTTATAATAAATCAAAAACATGACATAAATTTATTGTCGTTTAAAAAATGGGCATACTTTTTTTTGAACATTTTCGAATCTTAGAATATATTTCTCTTCGATTGGAAACCGTCCAGTTTTTAAATTACAACAAATTAATTCCACTTTTGGTTTTAAATTAAATATACCAAGTTTTTAAATTACCAAAAATATTGGTTACTGTACTGTTTCAAACGCGGTACAGTGAAACCTCCATATAACGAACTTTGATAAAACAAAAAAATCTATACAAAAATATTTCTGCGGAGTCAGTTGAAGAAACCTCGTTGTTGTGAAATATTCCATACAAAAATGCTCCATAGCTTTAGCGAATAAATTTCGAGCATGAAAATCTACGGATATATTGGAAAAATTCGCAATCTTCTATAATGATTTTTTTCTAAAATTTTTCATTTTTTGTTGTTTTGAAACTATAGATATTTATAACAAAACATTTGTCCAATCCCTTCAACTTCACTTTATTTATAAACCAAATCACTTTCAGATATCGTGTCTCCAAGGACGACTCGCATCGTTCAAGAACTGAAAGCTTACGGTAAGTAGTGGAGGAGACGGTGATGTAAATTTTGTGTTCTTCTTCGGCTTTTTTTGTCTACAACATTTTACCCTGTTAAGTTCATTAATAATAGTGGTTAAAAAATTATCATTTACGTTCGTTCAAAAATAGCAGTTGCGGGATTGAAATGTTAAAACAAAAATGTTAGGCACAAACTATTTTATCGATGAGGAAAAAAGCGATTCTAATAAACGAGCAAAATTGAATTTTGAGGGTTAAACTATTCTACAAAACTGTTTATTAAAAAATTGTACCAGGCACTAAGTTTCCAAATCTATGCTACTGATTGATTTCATTTAAGCGCCAGACCGTTGCTTATTAATTGGCATCTCACACCCACGATTGAGAGAATACAAAGGTTGCGCCGATCTCGGACCGCTATTCCTCTCTTAACGAATTTGACAGAATCGTGGTTTGCATGACGTCACACTTGCGCAACTTGTTTACGTTTTCCTTGCAACATTTTTTCTTCTTCTTCCATTCTTGCTCACGTTTTGGCATTTCTCTCTCGCAATTGCACCAGTGTGACGTCACACAAAAGTTATTCTCAAAAATCCTCTCTGATCGGCGCAATCTTGTATTCTATCATTCTTGTCTCACACCCATATACCAAAAAAAAAAAGTTATTATGTATCTTAAAAAACAGCTTGTCATACAAACCACCTGCCATTAGTTTTATTTATATTTGTATAATTTTGATTTTCTTTTTTACTTTTATATTTATTTATTTATTTTTTTTTTTTAAATCTAGACTTACATCAAGTAGCCCCGTACCAAATGGATTTAACCACGCATAATCTGTACAGAGTCAAAAAACCGAAACCCAAATCATACATAAAGGATTTCAAATGACGAGTCGCTGATGCCCAAAAAAAAACCGCGTTGAAGAAAGAAAATGTGGGAATAGTAAAGAAGTGCATTAAAAGTGCTGGCCAACTTTTTTGCACCAATTTTTCGAACTCGATGTGATAATAACTAATTATTATTATTTTGAAAATTTCATAAAAACTTTCGATCTGAGATTTTTTTATTAAATTTAAACACATATTAGATTTATTTATCATTAAGTATGATTTATTAAAAAATCTTTTGATTTTTAGTGTTTATTGAAAATTTCGTGTATATGCATGTATGTATGTATGTAATATAAATAACAAAATAATGTAAATATATATATGGTATTATTTTAAGTAACTATTTACAAAACTTGTTTATATTCTATAGAATCGAAATTCAAGGTACCACACTTTATGCAAAAAAAAAAAATCTACACAAAACCATAATTTTACTATCCAAAAAAAAACAGTTATTTGGTTCTACTCTATCAGAAAAGTACTGCTCTACAAATTTATGTTCTTTTATATTTCCGCGCTCCTCTTTACAAATTATGTTCTGTCGACATCCCGTAGTTGTCCGTACTACGGAAGTCTGTATTATGCCATGCCTCTGGGTTTTCCAGTGCCATCTAATAGTCCACGGGGATCCAACTGCATGTTACATACTTGAGAAACAGCCGACCAATTGTCTTTGCGCCAAGTGCTGCCAGAGATCGACTTGAGAACATTGTTGCGGTTCTGTCCCGTAGTTACACTGTAGGAACGCTAAAGTGACACAAAAAACGCAGATGCACGTAACCTTAATTTTGGGCCGTACATTGCGGATCTGTACAGATTTTGCTAGATCAGGTCATTTTCCTCTAGGTTTTTTGATTATGAGAAAAGTTACTCATACGCCATGTATGTAAGAGTATGGCCACGTACGATATGGCGTGTTAGTAACATTATTTCCCGTCCCTGTTTCTTATAAAAAATTACTGCCCATTTTCATTTGATCATTCACAACTTGGTTATTAATGCATAGATTTTCATTGTTAGTAGCTTGATTTTTTTTTTTTTGCAAAAGAACGGACCTTAATACAAACGAAACAAATTTACAAGAAATCTGTTATATTTTACTAGTTAAAGCTTATTTTTGTTTGCATAAAAATGAAAATATCTTGGGAAACTGACCTGATCTAGACAACTTCTACATATTGTAACGTTAATATAGAAAGGCCCTATCTCACATCGTCGCTGAAATACAAAAAGTCTTAACTAGCTAAAAATCTCAAATTCACTTTTTAATTGATTATGATGCTTTTACATCGTTTTATGCAATACATAATTTTAGTGAGGCTTTTTTGCGTTTCAACGACGATGTGAGCAAGGGCCTTTCTATATTAAGGTAACGATATCGAAGCTTCCGCAGCCACCAGAGCTATTCACACGGATCTCATACGGTGACGACTGCTCTACATATATAATGGCCTTCGACAATTTAAGGGGTTACCTTTAGCAGCTTACTCTCTGTATAATATTTTAACAGTACTGGCGGAGCACACAACCCTATGGGACGCCTCTTTAATTTTCCCCTGTTTCGTGTTTAATCCCGATTGCTGACTACTCAGATAATTCACCGTCCGTCGTTTGAATCCGAGTGGGACAGAGCTGAAAATAATAATTCAAATTTTTTTATATAAAAATGAATAAAAAATATTTGGTTTGTTTTACTTCTTACATAAAATAGCCACTAAGTTTTAATTACTAATTCAAAATCTGGAGGTATTTTTAAATCCTTTACGATATTTTTGCTTCAAATTTGACTTATGTATTTCACTATATATTCGTACTGTTTTTTTTTTGCATTTGCATCGCTACAGCACCGAGGAATTTCTGGTTTGTATGCGCCCTTAGCACAACTACTGCTCCAATTCGATGAAGCGAAATCACTCGCATACGCGTACCGATTACGTTTGAAGATCAGCTGAAACCATTAACGAAGACTTGGAAGACTAAACATGTGGCGTACTTCGACTGTAAACTCATCGATATTTGCTGAAATTACATACCCACTAGGAAAATAGGGAAGCAACTTACTAGGTAATTCATGTTTTTTCAGCTTTTGGTAAGTTGTAAAATAACGTGCCGCCGAAGTTGTTTCCGAGTGCCGAACTACTCCGAGCGGCTGCTCTACATTCTATATACCTTACTTGGTAAAGCGGCTCATAAGTATGTCTGATGAAAAATGTACATTCTAAATTCCTAATTTCATAAGACGGCCACGTCTTTGTTAAAGTAAAGTAGATTTGGCAGGCAAGTGGTAAGGAGCGCCGGCTGAAGTGTAAGTTGCTGGATGACATTGCCCATGATGACAATTTTAGTACTAAAAGCTGAAAGAAAACATGGATTACCTTGTAAAATGCTTACCCAATTTCCCAGTGGGTAAATACGCGTTAATAACTGTATATGTGTATGTATTTATTTGTGTATTTTTTTACAATTTTTTAACCAAAACTAGTAATGTTATTTATCTAAATATGAAAAATGTACCTTAGAAATTTTAAACTTTATAAAAAATGTAATAGAATTACACACATATGTACATAAATAGTATGTGGAGATCTAAATGTATTTACTTCAGTTTACTGATAAAATATAAAATCGCATATTTATATACAAGTACAATATTTATTTATTTATTCATTCCTACAGTTTTACAAACATATCAGTGTCAGTTAGATGTGTGTGTGTGTGTGTGTGTAATAATTAAATGTTTGTTAATCTACTATGTTCAATTCTTTTATATTGCTGTATTTTTTATGTTTGTGTGTAATATCTTTACTTTTATTTTCGGTTTGTTTACTTAAATAAATGTTTTTGTACAAAAAATGTTAACAATTTCAACTGATAAAATTATAATTTTACATGAATACATAATAATAATTTTAAATGAATACATATTTATAATGCATTTAATACCCGTTAGAGTGTATAATTAAAGTGCAAATTTTTAATTACAAGAAAAATATGTATACATACATTTGTACAAATATCTAAGATAAGTATAAAGATGTTGTCTTTCTAGTCTAGTCCATTTAATATTTTTTTATAATATCCACCAACTGCTTTCGTTTTTCTGCGAGGCAATTCAGAAAACTTTCTTTATTATTCGTCATGTAACAATCACACAGATTTGATTGCTTGTATAGTTCTTTCCGTTGCTTGAAATTTATAAGATGCTTAACGGATGACAATGTGGGCAAGTATGTATTTGGAATCGCCAAATATGGAATAAGCAAAAACAAAACGCTAAATGCAACAAATATTTTGCAATGCAATATTTTATAAATAGTCTGTGTGTTTCTCAAAGGCTTGGTTGTATACTATACATATCAAAGACAAGCGAAAGTACCAATGAGTCAAATTTTGAGTAAGCTCATTAAAAGCCAACAGCTTGGACACTAATGTATGAAGAATAGGGTGGTGCTTAAAATATCAACATTTAAATTTGTATTGGTCATCCCTTTATTTTGTTTTACATATCTACAAAATAAAGATACCCATGGAAATTTTAAAACTTAGAAACAAATTTAAGGGTTTGAAAGAAATATTTTTTTATCGTAAAAATCTGATTAAGTTTTGACTAGAAATCTGATCAATTTGACGTATTATTTAGTTTTTACTATACAGATGCATAAGGTCGCTGGTCAAAGTCAAAATTTTGTTGAATTTTTCAATTTTTCAAATACTGGGAGCGACTTCTAAATTATTATATTTTTAATTTTAAAATTTTGTACGTAGAAAAAACCCATGATGTTGCAATTTTAAGGACCACCCTAGTGAAGAGGTATAAAGTCATCGTAGCAAAAAATCCATAGCTTGGGTTACGAATTGCTACCCCTGCCAGCATTTGCTTCCGATTTAGCCTATTCCGTCTATGTGCTATTTCAAACCAGCAAAAATTGCCCATTGGTAAGATTTTAGGTCATCACTGAAACAATCGCATTTTTTGAATAGCATTAAAAGCCTTTAGTTGTGTTTATTTCGTAGGCAAAAACTTGCAAAGTATGGGAAATTGAGAGAGCGAAAATAACAGCTCAAGGTGCTAGTTGTTACCCTATGAAATAACCCTTGACCCGGTCATTGATATTCCCTCGGATAGGTAGGGTTACATTAATGTACTTGGATGTGTATCAAATCTAACCTAATAAAACAAATATTTAGCTGGTAGGCATTTATTGCACTGATCTTAGTGCCAGAGCACGGCAGCATTCATTGCAATGAAATTGCTAACGAGCTGGCCCAAAACGGAACGTTTCTGGGTACCTACCTGGTTATTGGACTACCTCTGAGCTATGCATATCGTGCAATGCTATAGAGTCAATATGAATTTTTGAGCCACCTATAATATAATGAAGGAGACATCTCGACTGACTGCCGTTTCCACATTGGACATTGGGCCCCAGGGTAACCCAACTTATCAGATAGACCACCTATGCCGTAACTTATCAGATAGACCACCTATGGATCACCCACCCTTTTGGGAGCACGAATATAAACGTAAAACCTTTGACAACATTTGCGGGCCCGTTTTGGATTATATCTCAAATCTTCTAGCGTGTCGAACCTTTCCCAAAAATCGAAGGCTTAAAAGTTAATTTGTATAGTTGAAAAATATCACAAATACTTACAGTCCCACCCGCACATAATTCTCTACCCGATTGTTTCACCTCTAACATCTCTAGCGCGACAATAAACTTTCTAAACTCGTTCGCTTCATTTTCGTACAGTTCATATCCTTTCGGATCTGTTGTTCTTTTTGCATAAACAGACTGGCACTCGGTTTTTAAGAACGAAGGACTCCATGTCTCTGAATAACTCATGTTTTGTGGTTGAGTAAGGTCCAGTTCACATGTATAAAAATCGGTTTGCGCTGCTCCTACTGTGATCAAGAACTAAAAGAAATACAAAGTGAAATTTCTTTTATTATTCGTTTATTGGTTAGGAGGACGTTGAGAAATTATATGCTATTACAGTCCACCAGCGAACAATCACACTTACCAGGACGATAACTAAAATTAATAATAGAAATCTAATTTCCATTTTCAAACGATTTTTGATGTTCTTCTATGCCTCAAAATTGAAAAAGAAAAATATCAAAATTTAATTAAAACTAATGAAGTTTATTTAATTTTATAAGTACATACACATGTACATAAACATACCCTCTAGGAAAAGGAAACATTCCTCTATGCATGCTGTACAGTTTCCAAAGAAGCATGGAGTTATTTGCTTTCGTTTAAAATAATAAGATGTAATTTGGTGGAAACTGTCCTCCTCGCTGTCCATGAAATGCATGGAGAAACTTTTTTGTAATTATGAAAATTTTGATTAATGTATAGACTTCGCCAGTCGAAACCGTCATTTTAAGGCATTGTTGACTTCCGTTTGGGTAATCCTTCCTGATTCGTCACTGCAATGTGTTTACTCCTGAATGTATGAAGGTGTCGTGCTTGGTTGGGTTGTGCTCATCAAGAACTGTTTTCGCATATCAAATTTCATAAAATTTCTTGTGTGCTCAGCCCCACGTGAGCTATTAAAGTTCACAGCAACTAATAGGCAGTCAAAGCTTATGTCCATATTAAAGTCGTTGACACTAAAGTCGGTTCTACTTAACCGGAACGACCCAGATTTATAAACACTATCACTCCAGCATCACTTCACAAATCAAAACAAAGTTATTTTCATTATTTTCAATAAGTACTTTATTAATCTTCTACCGTTACAATATCATTTTTAAAAAAGAAAACATTATGTATTACTATAAATATTATGACTGCCTAAGATTATACGATTCACATAAATCTTAATACGTACTAACTTTACATGAGTTAATTTGTATACGCGATTCTCAGTACTTAAAGTTATTTATTTTATATGTAGGTATGTATGTATGTATAATTTTTTGTATGTCAAATCTTGTAACATTTTGTGTAGGTAAATTTTTGCCCTTACTTTTTGATATATATTTTAAATTAATTTTAATGTTCATTATGCATATGGCTACAGAGAGCGTACCTAATTTATTTAGCAATTAATGTATAGTCACGTAAATGATTTTAAAATGAATATTGTTCTATTTTATTTATGGTATACATGTAGGTATTTATCCATATGTATACCGAAACCTGCATGCATACAGACCCAGAGATATATGTATAATTAACAGGCATACAGACAAACACATTATAAATTAAATGCTCAATTTTTACATTTGCATATGTATAAATGTGTACAAGCAATGTAAGTTTGTATGTGTAGAGAGCAAAGTGCAACACATTTGCATGAAAGAGAGATTCAAAAGAGCGCGTCAATGGAAGAGTAAAATATTTAGCAAATCTTTTGTTTGTTTAGTTAATGCATTGGCCGGCATAGTTTATAAATATCGAGTATAAAATTCAAAACCAAAAGGTATGAAATATAAAAGAAGCTTCACAAAGAGACAATTGGTAAGTATGTATGTATGTATATGTATAACGACTTTAACTATGAAGTAAATAGGTAGTAAAACAGCAATATTTTTAATAGCTTGCAGAGAGCTTTTAGTTAAAAACTAATAAAAAAAAAATATTTTAAATTAACTGCTCCAAACTTAATTACAACTAGCTTAAGTAGGTTTCATAACATTAATTTAGTTAATTTATACGAAAACCGCCAGTTTAATGCTTTATAAGATTTTTTTTTCATGTTTTTGTTTTACATTCTCATTATCAAATAAGGTCACATTGTATCACTAAAAATCACTTAAAACTAGTAGCTTTCCCTTTCAATTTATGCTAATGTATATTTTCTATTAAATCTTTAAAATTATGTTTCACTATTCTGCAAATTTTGTTCGTGCCAAAGCCAATAATTTTATTAGAATTAAAACAAACGCAATACATTTTCTGTGTCTTTGGCTTTGAGCGCATGAGTTGTTGGTGTTCCATTATTTGCCTTCACGTTCGGGGGCACGCATGTGCGCAAAAACGTTCCAACACGCTCGACATTGTATTGCAGCCTATAGCTTTCTTTCTCATGCACAATGAAATGATATCACAATCATCGCGCATACAAACGCAAACAAATGATAATTGAAAATATCAACGATATACGAAAACTCACTAGGAATTTCTTCAAAAGGACATGCATATCGGTGTTCTTTCTGTCTTCCAGTTATTTACAAATAAAAATATAATTTAACTAACTTGTTCTCGGTAATCTACATTTATGAAGCAAACATACGTATATTATTGAGTGTGCGTAAATATAGGTATGTATATACAAATGACTTGCGCAAAACATAATATCAAAAAAAATCATACACATTTGTTTGTATGTGCAAAATTAGTTGAATTTAAAATATATGTACGTTAAATAAAAACAATTGCACTAGTAAAATTTAAAAAATAAACATATTCGAATATAAATTAGATTGCCGCTTCGTGCCATTTTTACATGCTGTACTTTTATGCTTTTTTAACCTCGTTCACTATTTAGCTTGGCACAATTCAGCAAATCTTTTACGTATACATGTCTAATTTTCTTAACCTAGCAATATAAAAAAAAAAAATCCTCAAATAACTTTAACAAAATAAAATTCAGACAACTCCGGCATGAACATGAACTTTCTCACTGTTTAGGCACAAATCGTTCCAAACTGAGTTATCAGAATTTCTAAATTTCTTGCGCATACTCGTGTACATACTATGTACAAATGCAGACTGTTTCAGCGATTAGAAATAGTATCAAATACATTCGCCCGGATGCTGTGCACAGAATTTCGGGAATATTGGTTCTGCTTCCAAGCCCAATTCTACGAGTCGATTACGAAATACGGACATACGCTTGAAAACGTCCTGTGGCACCACATCGAATTCCCGATCATCGTCAAGATCACTCCATAATCTGCATAGAAGATGAGACAAAAAAAAATATATAATATTATGTAATGTTATACACTTTAATTTAAAGAGTAGAAAAATATATTCACCTTTCGCCTAGCGCAGCAGCACGTGGCCATAATCGATTATCCAATTGATACTCATCGGTTTGCTCTGTCCACATACAAGCTTCGCCGCCCAATACCTGAAAGGCAAAAACAAGGAAAATAACTATGAAGTTAAAGCTTAGTGTATATTAAGGAACGTTTACAATGTCAACTTGCAGTTGAAAATGCGTTGTTTCTTTTTTTTAAGTTCTTCTGCATGCATATCGGCTTTGAGGTGTAAAGTTTCAGTTGTATTTGAAATTAAGAGAGATTATATAATAGAGAGTCTGCCTCAAACTACACCAACTCTCGGCATATGAATGCCGCTTGAATGCCCCAACTGCTCAACTTCTGGCTACTACAGCAGACTAAATTCGTACTTAACATACGACTCAAAACATCTCTTCATATGCCCGCAACAACCAATTCAATAAACGCCCCTCTATCCCTGTGGTCAAACCCCGTCGGAGTTGGCACGCTTCTTAGGTCTTCCGTTCGTTGGGAGCTTGACGACAACGATTGAGGTACAGAAAGGAATTTATATGCTGTTACAACAAAACTTACTACCATCGACCTTTTGCGCTTCGTAGAAAAAAATGCAATTAGTTTTAAGGCCGTTTTCTCGTACGTATCTTAAATGTAACTGCCCCTTTATAAACATCAACTGATTATTTATGCATTTCATCGATAAAGCAGTCTTAGCGAGGCAAATACGGAACATGGTTCTCACAAGGAACAAACACAACTTCTAGCTCAATGCCGCCATAAAGCTACACATACTAGAACTAACTCAAACTCTTCGCAATGTATAAGCTTTATTCCATGCGATTAAGTTACCTGTTTACGCTGCGCTTTATTAAGTCGCATACGCTCCCATGGTCTGTGTTTGTAGACATTCTGCCAAGTGCGATAAGGCGAACAGGCACCCTCTCCTGCAAACACAAAATGTATATCATTTATACTCACACTCGGCTTATCTGCTCATATACTTACCTGTTGAACGCCAATTACCAAAACCACAGTCTAGGTACCAGGCGTCGACGTGTGAGAAGATCACATTGAAACCGTTATCAATGAGATCATAGTTCTCCTGCCACGTACTACCGCCCCATACTTGCACAGCGAATCGGCTGTTTGGAAGACATTTTGTGTTCGTCAGACCACTGGACCAAACACTCACTACGCGTGGTTCTACATTGTTGTTGGCTATTTTCAGTCTACAATTAATAAAAAATAAAATATTAGAAAAAAAGGTAGGTGCCACAGTTTCTCGCGCAGGTAAATATTATTGCTTAACATATGTATGTACTTACCGTGCCAACGCATTGAGCATAAAATCACACCACAAACCACGCAAATCTGTGTCATTGAAGTACTGTCCCCAGCACTCTAGATTCACCTCATCGCCGCCAAGGTGAAAATAATCTGTCGGACCGGTAGCATTCAATAGCTCCTCATAGAGGCGCTGCAGTACCAGGTAGGTGTTATTATTTTTAGGATTCAGTTGCCCACAAGGCGGTTCACCACAATAGAAACTCCAAGGCTGTTGATTTATACATAAACTCAGTTCGCCGAGGCCACGTTTCGGTCCCCATTCCCAACCGTTACCAGCGTGCGCAGGCGCATCGATTTCAGGCAACACCTGTACGCCATGTAGTCGGGCAAATGCCGCCACATCGCGCACATCCTCAGGTGTGTAGG